ATTTCAGGCACAAACGTATCAGCCCCCCGAAGACCCGTGCCCCCTTCGATGTCTGACTAAGTGTAGCTCAGAGTGCCGGGCAGGTTCTCAGAACCCCCTCCTCTGTGTAGCTCCACAGGGCAGGATAGGCAGAGGAACGCGCAGCAGCTCAACCAAACCTCGGCCAGCAAAATTGGACATGCCTTCACCGAAGTTTCCTTGACCGGGGCGCAACACCTTGCAACGCTTCCAGCTTTGTCAAAAAGAAGCGAGCCTCAAACTAAGATGTCGAAACTGCGTTTGTTTGTTCTTACTTGTGTTGGTGTGAGGTCATGGGTACACGTTTTTGTGAGCACAGAGAAACGTTTGTGTTCGCTTTGCGTCGCCCGTCGTAGAAAAGGCGGTTTTCTGAAAGGTAGCATCAGCAGGGCCAGATCGGTGCGCCCGCAACACGCTATCTGTGAATGCCTCAAAGCTCCGTGGCTCGTTTTTGGTGCAGCTACCATTGCTCCACATGATCTATAGGAGCGTCATTTCAGACTTGCTCGGGTGGGCCGTTGCCGCCCTCAGACTGCAAGGGTGCCAACCCTCCTCAAGTTTTGAAAGCGCAGCCCTAGACCGGCGCCGCAAGAGAAGCGCGCGACGCCGGGCTGTGTTTGTTGGTGTTGCGCTTGTTTGTTTGAGGTTTACTCGCACTTCTCAATGCGTTGCTTTGAACAGAAGCTTGTCACACATGGCGCAAGTGCATCCAACCCGTGCGTCCAACCCGGGAGGCATGGCTCCCAGAAGCGAAGCTGAACGTTAAAAGGCAGCGCGCGGGAGAACCAGTTCTAAGAACCAGTCGTCCCTAATGGTTCTGAGACTGTTCTAAGAACCCTTTCGTCGCAAGTCCCAAGAACCACCCCGCACGTTCGCTAAGAACGTTCGCAAAGCACCCCCCCGCAAGTTTGGATAAGGTTCGCTCAGAACCTCGCTCCGAAGCCAGTCTATCGCCTGGCAAGGTTGGCTTCAGGGTGCTGAAGGGCTCAGGCGTTCCAATGTCCGAGGCTTGCTTTATTTGATGCTTTACGTGGAAGCAATCGCCCGCGCGATTGCCCGCGCCGCCGGTGGACAATGAGCGTTAAGCCTTGCTGGTGTTTCGGCGGTCAGTTCGAAGTTGTTGCAACCATGACATGGCAGCGCGCTGGAGCTGTACCGCTTTTTGAGTCGTTAGAGGTGTTAGAGGCGCTTTTCAGACAAGGAAGGGCGAGCAGGTTGCTTGTTTTTGGGCAAACTGACGTGCAGTGCTCCTTGGCAATCCGGGCGCGCGTGAGATAGCATAACTTAGCACGTTCTTCGACAAGTTAAAAGACCTCATGTTGCTCAACTCAGCACAGCCTGCGCGTTGGGCACCCCTAAGCCCATTTCTTCTGCATGAGGTCTTCGCAGCCAGGGTGATGCAAAAATTGCACGCCGTGAGCCATTCTTCTTGCTGACTTACGGCGCCAAACATGCCCGAAGCCAGCCTAACTCAGAACCCGTTCTAAGAAGGGGGTGGGTACTAAGATTCACTTAGTACCCCGGCAGCGTTCTGAGACATGCTTGGAGGGGGGCGGCTCTGAGGGGGGCGGATTCGTTTCTACCCTGTTTTTGGACACAAACCAGTTTCTTAGGAGGTGGGGTTCTTGTTTGGTTTCCAGAGCCACATCACACCCGAGCCATCCGTGAAGTCGAGCCGGAAACGGGGAGTCACTGTTCTGGCGCAGGATCTGCGGTGCGCCGATGTAGTCACCTGCAACTCCGCCTTGCGCAGCTGTGGCGCGCAGTGGCACTTGGCGCTCAGAGTGCTCAGCGCCTTTGTCCAAACGGTGCAAGCGGATGTGATCACCTACAACACGGTTCCTTGCCTTGGAACGGGGTGTTCTGGGACGGAGCAAGCCCATTCACAAATAGGCGGCAAGGCCCGTTTTGAAAAGAATGGCGTCACTATATCCGCCGTTTCTTTTTCATCCAGGGTCAACATGTGGGTTATCGTCTAAGGATCAGTTGTATAGTTGGGCAGCATTCAGATTGTGATATCCGCCCTTTGGTTGGTTTGTGAGTGTCAATACGTTGCTGTCCGACTTGTTCTATTGAATCTATTGCTTTGGTTTCTTCTTGACCAGAACCTGCATGCTTGTTCTCGCTCGCCCATTTGGTGCATGTGCGCATCTGAACTGGGCTTGAGCGCAGATTTGGAGAACCACCAGCTTCGACGGCTGCCAAGACTCGAGAACTTGGAAGACAAATCTGCAAACATCGCCTTGACTCTTTCCGACTGGCCGAATCCTGGCTTCGCCTCTCAGCTTCTTTAGGTGATCAGCTCCTGCGAGAAGGCCGGTGAATGGCAGCTGGCTTGGGCCCTACTGGCCACAATGCAGGCGGGGGAAACCAACGAAGCACACGAAGCCAACCAAGCAACCAACAAGCCATGGGTTCCCCACTTTGAGGGTCCTATGTTGAGCTTCACTGTTGGCAAGTCGTTTCTTTGTTTTGGTTGTTTGGTTCTGTTTGGTTTAGGGGCTGCAAAAAGCAGAGGTTTCCCAAGCCCATACCAAGGGTTGTGAAGTTATTTTGGTTTTTCATAATGGCAGGGCAGTCTTTGTGGGACACGGGTAGAATATGTTCTGTAACCATCGGAAAATAGTTAGAGCCGGAGTCAAGGCGACATATCTGCAAAATAACATATGAGTAGTTATAATAGTAAATGCAATGATAAACAGTAGCAACAATAATATATGGGCTTTTATGCGTATGTATACGTAGATACGCATGTGATGTGCCTATATGTACGTATGTGAATGCATACATACATATACACACACACATGCACACACATACGTACATACATATACACACACATACGTACATACATACATACATACATGCATGCATGCATGCATGCATGCATGCATACGTACATACATACATACATGCATGCATACATACATACATACGTACATATATGTATATATATATATATATGATGTTTGTTGTGCATCGAGCTGGCATTGGATATTGGAGAGAACCCCTGCATCCTCATTGCAATTCGTGTACCTGGTTTCATCCCAGTGACTTGCATGGACTCCTGAAGCTGAGGCCAAATGTTGTGGGAGGTTTCTCACAACAATTGGACTTGGTAAAAGGGGCAGCGAGGGAAAGAAGCCGTTTCAGTATCATGTATGCATTTACTCTCCTTTTTGTTTGAGGGGGGGTATCTGAAGCCGTTGTTTTTTTTCATATGCATTTGGTCTCTCCTTTTTGTTTGGCGTATCTTAAAAAAGCTTCACACACAAGTGCTCACAAGTCTTCGCTCCTTGCCTTGCCTTCAGCGCGGCATCTTGAACTGTCGCAGCATCCCAGTGGCTCCAGTCGTGTGGTTCCTTTTGATACGGAAAACTTCGCCGGTAGACGAGGTTCTTTCTTGGCCTTGCAGAAGCCTATTTGCTAGTGACGGTTTAGGGTGAGCGTACGCGTGATAACAATTGAGCATCAAGTCTGGTGAGTGGCAAATACTGTACTTACCACAATCTGTGTTTAGCGTGCTTGAGGGAAGCTGCAGCAACATCGCCCACAAGAATCACAAGGTGAGTTTCAGGTTTCCTGCTGGTTTTAGATGGACATGGGCTTCAAAGGGTAGACGTGGCAGCGAAATGCAAGTAGAAATATACGGCTGCTTCCTTGACTACTAGTGATTCTCTTGGCAGAGCAAGTATCCCAACACCCTTGTGGCTTACAGTGCAGGGATTTCCTTTTTTTCCTACTTGCAATGTTTCCAGGTGTGTCTTTTTTGAGGCCACCTTGCTTGGTCTTTGAAGGGAAACCAAAAGGACCCCATCCGGAACCCATCCATTTTGGCGGTGGTTGGTATTTTTTTTGGCGGGCAGCCCACAAGAATCTCATGGCGGGCGGTCGGTCGCAGGCGGAGGTGCTGGAGCTGGACGTCATCAGCCTGAGTGCGTGCGTCAGCGCCTGCGAAGCAGGCCAGCCTCGGGCCTCTTGCGCCACGGATTTTTGTCGAAACCGCACTTGGGCTGCGGTTCCGCTGCGGTTCCGCTAGTGGGTGGGTGGCGGCGCGGGGGGGGCGGGGGGATGTTTTTGTTGTTCATCTGGGTTGTTTGGACTAGCCGAGGCGGGATGCATTGATACCTCAAGAGCTCAGAACTCCTCGATTCATACGACAGATGGGCATGCTGAATCTAAGAATGCATCAGATACCCTCCCACCCTTCTCACATGGAACCTGAGGTTCAGGGATCTCAAAAGGAGAATGGTCCAAGCCAGGACTTTTTTGCTTGTCAGGTTCCGGCTGTGACAAGGGAGGAGAACTTGAGCTCTTTCCAAGCAAAATAGATATTCCATACGAGACCTCCACATACTCTCGCTACGATTCGCGGTTCGCTTGAGGGTGTCCAAGAGGTGTTTCCCAGGTCTTTGATCTGGTTCTCTCCCGAATCTAAAACACGAGAGTCCAGCCGGCCTGTGAGAAAGTTTGACAGACTCCGTTTTAACTAGGCCGCCCAGTAGTGCCCTTCTCTCCCATCTTTTTTGGGGGGAGGGTTCCACTACTAAAATAGACTACAGGAAACAAGGTACCCTCAATCTAACCTCTCTACTGGAGGACCTAGTTAACTTTCAGCTCAGGTTTTGTTGGCTGCATTGTGATTCTGCACTTAATGATTGCAGTCGGTGAAATGCCCAGGCAACGCAAAACCTGCAACGACAAAATGCGTGACATGTGAAATGCCCGTTGCTTGCGCTTCACGCCTTCGCGCGCGCGCTTCACGCGGGGCGTTCCTGTCAGGACAGCAGTGGGAGACGGCGCTTTCCTGGATGAGCTTCTGTTTCTCAACTCTGTGCCTTCCTCAGTTGACACGTGGATTGCTTTGATGGGCCCTGGTTTTTGGAGCTGGTTAGTTACCTGGAAGAATATCAACCAAAAGCATTTTAAAGTTGTTGCCTCTGGGGATCTGGGTTTGCCTGAACAATGCGACTTGTGCCTCCAGACACAAGACATTTTTATCAGCGAAGTTCCAAAATCACGGCACACGTGCATCGTTGGCTGGAAGTTGTGCATGAATGAATGGTTATTTGTTTGGTTCACTTGGCCCGGGTCTTTATGGCCGTTGGGATGCAAACTTGGAGCGAATGTTTGTGAGCCTGAAACTTGGGCACGACTGCTACGGTCCCCAGCACAGTTGAACGTTGGACCACGTTGACATGTGGGGCACATGATTTCTTAGGCTTGATGCAGGGGACCCCCTGCCAAACATTGAAGATACAGTGTAGGTTGCAAGTGGGAAACACCGGAGTTGACATATTCACATACTATGCTGCCTTAGCATTGGTAGATGCTTCTTGGACTTCTGGTGCTACTCGATGCCTTTCGCTGCATCCATTGTGGAGTTTCCAGAAGAGTTTCCAGGCATTGACAGACTTGCGAGCAAAGAAAGCACAGCAAGGTTGAGCAAAACTGGGTGTTGCGGCCACTGTTTCTAATACTACTGGCATCCCATTTGAAGTGAGAAATTTGTTTGCTTCAGCTTTGCTCCAGTTGATTTAGAGGCTTCTCTTGCAAAGCAGGTGTTGCTGGGATGTGTCAAAATAGGGGAACCCCAAAATGGATGGTTTCCTATTGGCTTCACTGGAGACAAGGTGAACATGGTACCCGAAAAAGCCTTCCGCAATGCATGGCTCTTTGGTGTGACCCCAGTCCCTTGGAACCTTTTAGCATCTGATGGCTTTTCCATTCCTAAGGTCTAACGACCCGTTGCTCCTCTTTTATGTCATCCTCTCTATGTTGTGTTTTCCCCCTTGTTTTTCGGGTAACGTTCAATCCAATTTTTCTAAACCCGCACCACTCGCGGATATAATTAAGAAAGGAAGAAAAAAAACTTACCTCTGCCTTGTCCGAGGACGGCGAGCATCATCACCTGCAATGCCGCCATCGGCGCTTGCAGCGCCGCAGCGCAGTGGCAGCACGCGCTGAACCTCTTCAACGAAGCTCGTCAGAACCGACGAGCTCCGGGGCGCTAAAACGAGCCCATGTTTGGGAGATCCCAGTTGGCACAGAGTTTCGACCATTTTTTTCTTTGTTGTTGTTCGGCCTTTGCAATATAATTGGGATCAGGATTAGCTGTAATATGAGTAAAAAATGCACCTAATAATCAGCAACTGCAAGGCTTTGGAGTTCCCTTTGCTGCCCAAAAGCTTCAAAAGGGGCCCAGCCGGGGGCAACTATCCCTGCAGCAACCCAGTCCTGCGGCGCTTGGCCTCTAGGTTCATGAAGCAGTTTGCAATCACGACCTGGTCGCTGACATGAACCTTGGGAGAGGATTGGATGGATTGAGACCGGTGTTTCACTCGTCTAGCTGCTTCTCTTCTGAGTGTTATTGGATGTGATCAAAAATCAATTCATGTCAGGTGGTACAGCAGCAGGATGAAAGAAACCGCCTGGTTTGATCATGGGTAAACCAGACGTTATGTAGCATCTCATGACACGTTCGCCACACATGTGCATTGTATGCAACACTGTGGCCATTGACTGGTATCACCCATGCACAGACGTACGCACAATTTGTGCATGCATGCATGCATGCATGCGCACATGTAAGCGTCCATGCATGCACACATCCATACATGCATACCGTCGTGCTGGCATACGGGCAGGCGGGCATGCGTACAGACATGCGTACTCATACGTACACATACGTACACATACGTACACTTACACACACAGAGGCACAGGCACACATACATATAGATAAATACATATATATACATATATATATATATATATACATTTGTTTTATTGTTTATTTATTTATACAGAGACAGACAGACAGACAGACAGACAGACAGACAGACAGACAGACAGACAGACAGACAGACAGACAGACAGACAGACAGACAGACAGACAGACGGACAGACGGACAGACAGAGAGAGACAGCCAGACAGCCAGCCAGCCAGCCAGCCAGCCAGGCAGGCAGGCAGGCAGGCAGGCAGGCAGGCAGGCAGGCATCCATGCAAGCATGCACAGAGACACGCACACACACACACACAACTTCATTCATTCATTCATTCATTCATTCAGTCAGTCAGTCAGTCATTCATTCATTCATGCATTCATTCATTCATTCATGCAGGCATTCATTCATTCATTCATTCATTCATTCATTCATTCATTCACTCATTCACTGATTCACTGATTCACTCTTTTCCTTTTTCACTCATTCACTCATTCACTCATTCACTCATTCACACATCCACGCCTACATGCATTATTACATGCATGCATATGTATGTTATAGATACGTCATGCGCCATATCAGGTGGTGCAGAGGGTCCACTTCAACAAGTGAATCTTGCCAAGCACCAGCTTCTAGTTGTTATGTTGTTGTGTTCTACTTGTCAACCCATCGAACCACACAGCTGTGCATTTTGTTGATTCCGAAGGAGGTCGGGCTACGCAGGAGCATCATCACCTACAACACCACCGCTAGTGCGTGCGCACGTGGGGAGCAGTGGCAATTCGCCTTGGATGTCCTGGACCAAATCGCAGTTGCCAAGCTCCAGAGACTTTTCTGACAGCTTAGCATGGCCCAAAGACCACAAGGGCCAACATGATTCCAAGAAAGTCGTAGCGGATGCGACGTCGCATCTATGAAATGAGTCAATCAGAAGCGTTGTACACCATGAAAGTTCACCAAGAGCATGCGAGTTGTCCGAACCAGCAGAGAGTTGATCAGGGTCAACTTGTGAGGAGGGTTGTGCCATGCCATATCGAGTATTACCTCCAGAGTGTTCAAGAAAGAACATAAGTGGCATGGTCAAAGCGAAGAGGAGTGCCAGGTCCCCAAATTGGAGGCAAAATTGGAGGCACAACGGCATCCTTGGGGTAAGTGTTCCGTGGACCCTGTAGTACTGTATTGGTTTGAGGTTCAAAGCAAACAAGTACAACACAGAATATACACTTGTGCCGACGTGAGACTGTGTAGCATCAAAGATTCAACTCCCTCGGTTATGCCTGTCAGAGTTCAGATGTTGAGCTTTGGAAGACGATGTCAAGAAGTGGTCAACAAAAACTAGACCACGGTTGGCCCGAAAGCATAACATCGCAAGCGAGGTCGGCCCAACGCTGCAGAATGCGTTCTTTTTCCCTCCACGAAGCATTTGTGAAGCAAGCGCGAGACAGCACCAGGCAAGGTGCTCTGCGCTAACTGGTCGGTGCAAGTTGGTCTGCGCAAGTTGCTCTACGCAAGTTGCACTGTGCAAGTTGCTCTGCGCAAGTTGCTCCGCGCAAGTTGCTCCGGCAAGTTGGTCCCTGCAAGTGGCTCCCTGCAAGTTGCTTTGTGCAAATTGCGCTCCCTGCAAGTTGCTCCTGCTCTGCGCAAGTTGCTCTGTGCAAGTTGGTCTGCGCAAGTTGCTCTGTGCAACTTGCTCTACTTTAAAATGCAAGTTGCATCTTGCGACGCCCGCCCGCGGACCAGGTTCCGGGAGCAGGCGCGCGAACCACGAGACAACTCCCGAGGACCAGTTCGAACAACAAAAGTTGCAAAAAACCTCGAGTTTATGCACCTCGACCACGCCGGATCCCCGCAGAGGATTGCGCGGGCACCGCAGAAATCGCAAAAAACCATGGGTTTTTGCACCTCGACCACGCCGATCCCCGCAGAGGGTCGCGGGCACCGCAGAAATCGCAAAAAACCATGGGTTTTTGCACCTCGACCACGCCGATCCCCGCAGAGGGTCGCGCGAGCACCGCAGAAATCGCAAAAAACCATGGGTTTTTGCACCTCGACCACGCCGATCCCCGCAGAGGGTTTAGAAATCGCAAAAAACCATGGGTTTTTGCACCTCGACCACGCCCCCGCAGAGGGTTGCGCGAGCACCGCAGAAATCGCAAAAACCATGGGTTTTTGCACCTCGACCACGCCGATCCCCGCAGAGGGTCGCGCGAGCAGGTTAGAAATCGCAAAAAACCATGGGTTTTTGCACCTCGACCACGCCGATCCCCGCAGAGGGTCGCGCGAGCAGGTTAGAAATCGCAAAAAACCATGGGTTTTTGCACCTCGACCACGCCGATCCCCGCAGAGGGTCGCGCGAGCACCGCAGAAATCGCAAAAACCATGGGTTTTTGCACCTCGACCACGCCGATCCCCGCAGAGGGTCGCGCGAGCAGGTTAGAAATCGCAAAAAACCATGGGTTTTTGCACCTCGACCACGCCGATCCCCGCAGAGGGTCGATTTTCGTGTAGTGTCGTCGGCACTACCCCGCCGCCCTAAGAAGAGATTTTAACTCCTCGCAAGTCAATTGCACTTGACTCCTTGCACTTGCAACTTGCACTTGACTCCTTGCACTTGCAACTTGCACTTGACTCCATGCACTTGCAACTTGCACTTGACTCCATGCGCAGCTCGCAATGACTCTGCAATGACTCCTTGCAATGACTCCTTGCAATGACTCCTTGCAATGACTCCGCAATGACTCCTGCAATGTGCAATGACTCCTTGCAATGACTCCTTGCAATGACTCCTTGCAATGACTCCTTGCAATGACTCCTTGCAATGACTCCTGCAATGACTCCTTGCAATGACTCCTGCAATGACTCCTGCAATGACTCCTTGCAATGACTCCTTGCAATGACTCCTTGCAATGACTCCTTGCAATGACTCCTTGCAATGACTCCTTGCAATGACTCCTTGCAATGACTCCTTGCAATGACTCCTTGCAATGACTCCTGCAATGACTCCTTGCAATGACTTGCAATGACTCCTTGCAATGACTCCTGCAATGACTCCTTGCAATGACTCCTTGCAATGACTCCTTGCAATGACTCCTTGCAATGACTCCTTGCATTGACTTTCATGATGATGATTCCTTGCAATGACACCTTGTAATGACTCTCATGAGAACAACTCAAGTGAACCCAGCGGAAGAACCCTTCGCCATGCTTTCGGGAACATAGCACTTTGTGGCACATGCCAACCCGTGGCTGGGATCCAAACTGACCCCAACTCAAATGGGTTTGTGCTTGTGGTTCCCCTTTATTTATTTAGTTAGGGTTTCCCTGCCCCGATGCTGAAAAGGGTCCCAGGCTTTCACCGGACGAGGAGAAATGCTGTGACATGGAGTGTGGCCGTCAGCGCCAGCGAGAAGGGCAAGCAGTGGCAGCAGGCGCCTTACCTTCGCTTCCGGAGTGCTTGCGGAGGGGGGGGGGGGGGGCAAAACCCAAAAGCGACTCATCCAAGGAGTTTACACGGAAGGTGTACACTTGGTGTGGTTGATGTTGGCTTCAATTCCAGCTTCGGTTTGGAAGCTTGCGTCTTCGACTGCGGGGCACTTCGCACCTGAGCAGAATATGGCTCTCAAGGCACAGGGCAAGTGAACATGACGCGCCAACACGCAAAGGTAGGCATGGCGCAATCAGACATCGAACGGTTCAAGTTGAACTGCGTCACTTGCGTCTTGCTGGTTTCTAGCAGATAGCAGAGGCACAAGAGAGGTAGCGCAAGCCGGCCTGGCGGTCATGTTGATAGTGAATTTGTTTTTCCATTCGCACTTCCTTTGCGGGATCACATACCCAGAAAAGAGGGCCTTGCCAGAGCGGGAGTAGAGCCCTGGTGGTACATTCTATGAAAACAATGTCTCAACATCACCCCTTTCTTTGACTGTTCCTTTTGATTCCAGTATCAAACTCGGAAACCGGCGCTCGTTGGGTTCATGCCCCTTACAATAGAAGCCTGAGGGGTCACTGTGATACTGGTAGAATGCTGGGACCAGCTTGGTGTCCATAAATTGACATCTAGCATCACGACTTTCGCAACCATCTCCAGAAAGTATCATGGATGTTCTGATGGTTCTACCGATGTCTAACGTGAACTTTGCCATGTGTCACGTGCAGATCAAACAGTTCGGCGCCATGACGTGCGAAGCAACTGCCTCAACATGAGCAGGTTGATAGCGATCTTGTTGTAGTGGTTGTCATCGGCTTCGTTGTGGTTCTTATCTTTGTTGCTGTCGTTGTCGTTGTTGTTTCTGCTGCGCTGCTGCTGCTGCTGCTGCTGCTGCTGCTGCTGCTGCTGCTGCTGCTGCTGCTGCTGCTGCTGCTGGTGCTGCTGGTGTTGGTGTTGGTGTTGTTGCTGTTGCTGTTGCTGTTGCTGTTGCTGTTGCTGTTGCTGTGGTTTTCGTTCGTGTTGTCGTTGTGGTTGTTGTTGTTCTTGTTGTTGCTGTTGCTGTTGCTATTGCTGTTGATGATGTTGATGTTGATGTCGTGGTCTTGGTTTGTGGTTGTGGTTGCCAGTGAGGTTGTTGCAGCTGTTGCTGCGGCTGTTGTTGTTGTTGCGCCTGCTGCTGTCGTTGTTGTTATTGTGCTTGCTCTTGCTCTTGTTCTTGTTCTTTTGCTTGTTGGTGGTCGTGGGTTTGTGGATGTGGTTGCGGCTTGTTGTTGTTGCTGTTGCCGTTTGTTATTGCTGCTGTTGTTGCTGTTGCTGTTGCTGTTGCTGTTGCTGTTGCTGTTGCTGTTGCTGTTGCGATTGCTGCTGGTGCTGCTGTTGTTGTTGTTGTTGCTGCTGCTGTTGTTGCTGCTGCTGCTGCTGTTGTTGTTGTTGCTGCTGCTGCTGTTGTTGTTGTCGTTGCAGTTGCCGTTGCCGTTGCTGATGCTGTTGGTGGTGGTGTTGGTGTTGCTGGTGCTGCTGCTGGTGCTGGTGTTGGTGTTGTTGGTGTTGGTGTTGCTGACGCTGCTGCTGCTGTTGTTGTTCATATTGTCGTTGTTGTTGTTGCTTCTGCTGCTGCCGCTGCTGTTGCTGCTGTTGTTGTTGTCCTTGTCGTTGTCGTTGTCGTTGTCGTTGTCGTTGCTGTTGTTGGTGCTGGTGCTGGTGCTGGTGCCGGTGTTGGTATTGTTTGTGTTGGTGTTGGTGTTGGTGTTGGTGGTGATGGTGTTTGTTGGTATTGTTGGTGTTGTTGTTGTTGTTGTTGGTGGTGGTGGTGGTGGTGGTGTTTGTGTTGTTGGTGCTGGTGCTGGTGCTGGTGTTGGCGTTGTTGGTGTTGGTGTTGGTGTTGGTGGTGATGGTGTTTGTGTTGGTGTTGTTGTGGTGGTGTTGTGATGGTCATGGTTGTAGGTTGTGCGTTGTGGTTGTGGTTCTGGTGGTTGTTGTTGCTCCTGCTGCTCTTGGCTAGTCGTTGTCGGCTGTTGGTTGATTGTTGTTTGTTGTCTGTGCTTTGTGGTTTGTGGTTGTGGTTGTGGTTGTTGTTGTTGTTGTTGCTGCTGCTGTTGTTGTTGTTGGTGGTGGTGGTGCTAGTTGGTGTTATGGTTCTTGGTCTTGTTCTTGTTCTTGTTGTGGTTGTTGTGGTGGTTGTTGTTGTTGCTGCTGCTGTTGTTGTTGTCGTTGTCGTTGTCGTTGTCGTTGCTGCTGCTGTTGTTGTTGTCGTTGTCGTTGTCGTTGTCGTTGTGGTTGTCGTTGTTGTTGTGGTTGTGGTTGTGGTTGTGGTTGTGGTTGTGGT